TTTCACACTGCCCAACAACAACTCTGAATCCGTTGGCTCCACATCATTAACTATAAGCTGCAATTTAAAACAAAACATTAATACTAACCATGATTCAGTACAAATAAAGAAAAAAAACCACCACAAAACACCTAACCTTCCCAAATTTGAAAAGTGCGTCGGAGACTTTCGAAGAGTTAAACTTCCCGCAAACCTTCCATCGCAGACACCGGGGAATCAAATTCACCCGCTCAGGAACTAGCACACACATCCCCTCCGCCGCCAGAGATGGAAATGTCTCAAAAGCCCAAATTTGCAATGCAAACATGTATCCTCCAAAGGTAGGCCGGGTGCTTCCGCCTTTCTCAATAAATAAAGCGCACCTATACACATGATCGACTAACTCCGACCACACATCATCCCCCCAAGGGTAGGTATTAAACTCATCCAGGTCATCAACCAAGCTCAAATAATGCATCGGCAAATTAACCGAAGGCTGGTTACCTAGAAACACGTTTGCCAAAGCATAAATCAACGCCATCTTCACTGCGTCACTTGGTAGTGTCCGCTCTGCATCACACTTAAATTTTAAGAAAGCATTACTGATCGCTCTTCGCTTGACTGATTTACATGACGGAAAATACCGCGCCGCAAACCTACCACCCACACTATTATCCACTATCACCATCCGTCCGCCCATTTTTAACCCGGTGATCAGATGAAATTGGGCCTTCGTCAAAACAACCTCATGACCAAGAATCCTGAACTTCAACCTATCCTTACTTCCATTTTCATCAGCAGACCGCACACAATTCCCGACCAAATGGATGAGCAATTGCCCACTGATCCAAGGACAATCCAGAACATCTAAAATCATCCCGAATGCCGAAGTCCTAAATCTGCCCAACTCCTCTTCAGTCAGCTTTGCCCTGATCTGTCTAGCAACTTCATTCACATTGCAGTATGTATTTATCCTTCCATCGACCAGGCTGTCTCTCTCCAACCTCTGCGCTTCCTACTCAATGCAGAATTAACTCGTAAGCAGAACACAAAGAAACAAACACCAATTGTCAATGGACGACACACAAGGATTTAAGCAAAAACGGATATGGTGTTGATATGTCTATATGACCAAAAAAACACCGAATGCCCAACGACCCAATTGATCTATCCAAAACAAAAAAAATCAAAAAGAAAACCGCCCCCACTGCCAACTATTAATCGACAACCCCACCATCCATTTAAAAAAGGAAGTCAGTCAGTAATCCCATGAATCCAAAAAAAAACCTACCCCATCGACATTCTAAATGCCCCATACAGTGAGAATTTAATATTATGTAAAAACCTTCACAGAAATGAAAAGTTAGCCTAGAGCTTCAATGCAATGTCTTCAGCTTAAAACACTCCCACTACCACATGTACAAAAACACCACATTGTCTCATTCACAACCCTAAGGTAGCACCACCAACACTTCCACAACAAGCCACAAAAAAAAACCCAGACAACCGTACAAAACTCAACAACATACAAAATCACACCACATACTACCACTCACATCGACATGACAAAACAAGAACACACACTTCCTCATCAATGTTTCCAAAAAAAAACCCCATTCATGAAAACACATAAACAAGTACACATAGCGACTACACACAGCCGAATACCAATCCCTAGCACAATGCCAGAAAACATCAAAGTTCACCCAAATTACAAACCAAAAAAACCCCCAAACACCAAATCACAATAACCAAAACCCCTCCATCTACCAATCTCACTACCAACCAACAAAAATTAAAAACCAAAAAATGACCCATTGCATTTCACACTGCCACAACACCACACAAATTACATAAAAAAATAAAATGCAACATCAACAACTCTGTAGGCCTAACACAGCCAAGCATAATACAAAATTGCACTCTTTTTCAAATTAAAATTGCATAACGCTTTAACACATCTAACCTGAACCTTTTCCATCCTCTTGATTAACGGAATTTCATCAAGCGCTTCATCCTCTGACAATGTTTGCTCTGCGTTGCGCAACTCTTCCTCTTTCGCCATCGCAATCCTCACACTACGTCTTCTAATCGGAGTATTTCTTTCTGGATTCGAAACATCCGAAGTCTTCATGACTCTATATTCTAATACTTGGGAAGTGCGAATCAAGTGGCTGATTATCCGGCCTCAAAAACCGGGAAGCATGCAGCAGCAGGGTATAATTGCAAATCCTCCGCCTGATTACCCGACCTCAAGAAGCGGAACGTCCACTGCCACCTTAAACCAAAGTCTTCACAGTTTAAAACCTCAGGGACAAAACCGGGATTTCACTGCCTACAAAATGGCGGAAAACACTAGATTAATTAGCACTGCTAAATAGGTATTAAAATGTATAAATGGTGCTATTTTAGTGTTTTTCCCTTTTGATTATCTAATCAGAAAAAGCTTGTGTGTCCCTATCTAGGTAAGAGGACAGAGATGAATGCAATATCTTATTCTTGCTCAACGTAAAAATTTTACAATACAACCTCTATTTTGGGGAAATCAATGTAGCACCTATAATTTTCTCTCTCGAAGCTTTGGTAAAATTGGAAGGAAGTGGCAAAAATCACTTCCGAGTACTAATATTTTTCCTCTGAATGGTTCATTTCTAGAGTTATTATTGTAGAACCTCAATATCTCTCTCATTGTGTGATCCAATACCTCAAAAACAAATCTATTCATCACACATGCTTCATCTCATATGA